GAATATTAGAAACAGAAATAAATTGCAGACTACATTTAGCAACCACATTCAGAGGAATTAAACCAAAAAAATAAATAGATAAATTTAATCGGATTTTCTCTATAAAATTATTGACAGGGACCATCAATTATCAAGAGATGTTACATCATACTGGGGTAATGCTACACTAGTACTTGGCTTTAAAAGGATTAGTCCACCCGAGAATACAAAAAAATATTGTCTCAAGTTGTGATCAACAAAAATAAAAAACAGTTAAAAATATGTATAAACACAATAATTAAGACATCACCTTCAGTTGTTTTGTACTTTGGATCAGAAGTATATGAGACATGAGCAAGTCAATCATGTTGGTTGATGATACAAATGAAGACTCATATCGATAACCAAAATCCTAGAAATACCTAATCTTTGTTAGCAGAATCTACAATAAGAACATTAATTCTCATCAAGATTATGTGTCAATTACTGATATAACAGCCATCATGTTGTTCCAATCGAAAACACCATCATTAGAAGCTACTTATTCTTTACAGTTGAGGAACAAAGTTCTCTGTTGCATACTTAAGGTAAGTTATTGCTACATGTAGAAACAGATGTATATTGCAAACTATTAGATGAATTGATCGGTAAAACATTTGTTCCTCTTTCCTCTTTAATATTGGCCACCCTAGCGTGTGCTGCTAAATTTAGTATCTAATTAAAAAAAATGCTTATAAGGGTATTTCATGCTGTAAAACCAGGTATCAACAAAGGCAAAAAAATAATCTTACCCAACTATAAGGCAATACAAAGTTCTCTATTTACTAGCAAAAGACAACGATGTATTGGATTACTTGAACACAAAAACTTCAAGGCAAAGACATTAAAAGGAACTTCCATCTTATGCACTCATGTAATGATACGACTATAAAATTTGTCTCATATTCAAAACAAAATCAACATAGATAATAAAAAAAAGGGTATTCTTACATTCCCCATAAAAGGGTCTCAATCCAAAAGCAGAGCAACACCTCAACCTCACTATAGCCTCTAGTTGTGGCACAATAAGTATTACTATTGTTTCCCTAGTTTTATTTGACTGCCGCCTCATATCCTGAAGTAGATAACGAAAGAAGCAGATATCAGTGAGAGATGTACAATATTTTCACAATCAAGAAAGTCTTGTACTGTTGCTGGAAATCTAATTCTGGACAATCCCTATAATGAGCCTGTTGATATACTTACCTGCCTAATTTTGACATAACTTTGTTGTAACATTGAGGCTACAGAACATGAGAGTCGCGGATGACAATTGGTTGTACAATATTATATGTATCTGCAACAGGAACTCATTTGCTTCAACATGTAGACTATTAAAAATAAGATTGTTGTTTTATCATCACAACAACGTAAGACCATAAATAGGCTACAGGGTAAAATAGGCTCTTTCAGACTCAACAATTAAACCCTTTGATTGGTAAATTTTTCCTTTGAATCAAATGCAAAAACTTAATTTAGGCACATGTATTTATGATAAAAAACTTGAGCAATAACTCTCATGATCAGTGGATTCCACAGATTATTCCTCATTGATGTAGGCACCTTTTTTTCCGCCTGCTTGTTTTGCGCAAGCACGTCCTACTGGGGTAAATGTAGCACCCCATTTTTCTGCACTTGAAGATTTCACAACTTGCAAATTACTATATAATATGACTATACGACATAGCAACCTTTAAATTGTATATTGATTTGAAGTTATCAAATTATTCCAAAAAACAATATGAGTCATGGAGCTGAAATTGTGCATTAAAACACATATTACGCAAAGAAAAATTGAAAGAAATCTAGACAGACCATATGATGTATCATCAATAACAACAGTAGCAACGAACAATAGATGGAAACAGAGGCAAATGGACACAAAACTTTTGAGAATTGATGAGATTACAACTTTCAAAATATTTTCTTTAATCTCTCAAAAAATCTATTCCTTATTGATAGAAAGAAGATAATTACAATTCAAATACTGATTTGTGATGTAATTCTAATTTTGGCCATACCAGAAGAAAGAGAAAAAAAATATTCTGTGGAGTTCCTGTGATCCAATAGATTGTTGCTTCGACTCCGACAACTGAATCCCAAAAAGGGGAAAACCCAATATAAGGCCTGCTATGGAAAAAATGGAAAAAAAAGAAGAATTTTATACAGAGATGCATGACGTAAGCATGAAACTTTATACCTTCAAATCTTTATCACACTCGGTAAAACTCTCTCCCTTATTGATTTCTTCTCGCCCTTGGATTTTGGGATTCTAGGTTTTGGTTAAACGATTGTTGGGTTCAAACACATACTTAAATTATGAGATTCTTTTAAGTTTTGATTTAAGAAAAGATACACTTCCACAACGTCAAGACAAAAACATGCTAGTATTACTGTTGATAATGTTAATCTCAACAAAAAATAAAAAGATACATGCAATAAATCTCTGAGTCTCTTTGTGGCTGAAAGGTACCCGTAAAGGAGGTAGAATCTCAGCGTAGCAGAGGATTGATCGGAGAAGAAAATGGTTAGAGTTGAAGAGGGTCTTAGAGAGCAGTTATATGGATCCCGTCAGTTATATGACGCTTTGTTTTCCTACAATTACTGAGATCGTGTAGATTGTGGGAATTGGGATGTGAGTGCGTGTGAGTTCCTTTTTAGTTTAAAATATAGCAGTATTTAAAATTTTAAAAATAATAGATTTATATGTGGTGGTAACTTCTTCACAATATAAAATGGAATTGACTTTTTAAAAAGAGAAATTAGTTTTACCTAAATTGTAACTAATTACCTAAACTGTAACTAATTTGTCCTAAAATTGCTAAATGGTAATTTATGCATGTTGACACTTGGCAAAATCTGATGACTGACTTCTTTCCTTTTAAATAGATATAGATAGATGCTAATTTTTTAAAGACGCCCCAAATGTTATACTCGCTTGATTCTAAAGAAATAAAAAAAAAATCACGCCTGATTATGCAAAAACAGTTTATATGCTTGATATGGTTATTTTACGGTTTATGAATATTTCGACTAGCGAAAGGACATGACCGTCCTTTATTTTTTTTTCACGCATTTTGCCTGTGGAATTCGACAAAACGTGCTAAGCCTGTCCTTCACATGACATAAATGAGATGCTCTTTTTTTTTCCTTTTCTTCTTCCTCTTTTTGCCATTTCGCTTAAGACCACTTTGAAGGTGTTTGAAATATATTACCTCAATATGCGTTTGAAAAGTAACATTCTAATGGAATTTGAGTGTAATTACAAATAAATTACATGTATTTATTTTTTTGTTTGGTCAAGTAATTACGAAAAGGGCTATATGTGTCCTTGTACTATTAAATATTAGTTATATGTACCCTTTGTTATACTATTCGATGCTTTCTACCCATACCGTTATCCATTTAAACATATTTATCCCTCCATTTAACGGACCCATTTCAGGTGGACACGTGGCGGCGTTCTACACACCCTAACCCATTTTCCTCACTAATACCAAAACCCACCCGAAAAATCTAAATTGGTTCAACCTCCTACATTATAAAGTACTTTGTCCATGTCAGAATTATTCATCCCCTTTTTTGCACCACCACTTTAAATCCATCTCCACCATAAACACCTCTCGACCTACACAAAACTGCCACATCTTTCCACCAAAAACTAATATATAATTAATTGAGTAATTGTAGGAGTGTAAGAATAATTTGAAAAAATAAGATATGAGATTTGGTGAAATAGCATAAAAATAAAGAGGATAAAAGTAAGAGTTGATATATACTAGTACCTAATAGAGAAAAATGAAAGAAGATAAAGGATTAAACACCCGGGAGTCATTAGCATTATTATCCTTTTCATCCCAAGATATTATCTTGCAAGGGCGGCTTAATATTGTTGGTGGCTTAAAGCAAAATTTTGATGAGAGGGCCTTAATTTTTATTTGATTGAAGTGTATTTTCCTAACTTTTTTAGATGCAAAATTATTAATAGTTTTCTTAAAATCGAATTATTCTAATAATTCATTTTCAACTAATAATACTGCTAATCTGATCTATTTAGATCCTCGTGAGACATTATTGATCTTATACAAGATTTTGTCCATTTTAACTTGAAAAAAATTCTTTCCCCGGTTGCAATTGTTATAGTAATACTTTATTCTATAAGGAATATAGGCATTAGAAAAAAAATGAAGTCTTGTTATCTTATTAAGTATATCGATTAGAGTCTTATCTTCTACTTATAATATTTTCTTTCACGCTATATAATTTGAAAAATAAGCCTAAATTATCATATCGGTGTGGCTATTATGTTCTAATCAAGGCTAAGTCAATATTTGTTAGATTTTATTATCCGATCTCAATTTTTACCCACTAAATAAAAAATAATAGATATTCTTATACGCTTCGAATTATTCAAGTTCAAGGGTCAATATCAGTAACAAATTAAATTTTCTTTTCCTTTTGGTAATTATTTTTTTTACTTTTTAACTTTAATTTTGTATATAAAAAATTAATTCATAAAATTACTACTAATGAAAGATGAGGGGCCCCCAAAATTTGGGGTCCTAAAGCCACAGCTTGGACTGCTTTACCCTTCAGCCGGCGTTGTTATCTTGTTAGAGTGAATATGGTATAGGTAAGAATAAATGCAATTTTGGATTTTTGGATAGAACAATGACTCCCAAATTAATTTTGCTTTAGGGATATCTTTTCTCTATTAATATTCGGGAGAAATTAAAAAATAGCCAGATTTATAAGTGGTCATTCAAAAATAGTCACAGTTTCAAAAGTAATTGAAATTTAGCCACTTTTCATGTAAAGATAAATCTAAACGAAGACATATTCAAAATCCGAAAAATACTCCAGCATAAGTATACTGGAACTCTAGTATATTATAATGGAGTTCTAGCATAAGTATATTGGAACTCCAGCATATTATAATGGAGTTCCAGCATAAGTATACTGGAACTCCAACATAATATACTGAGTTCCAGTATAATATACCGGTCAAGTATAATATGCTAGAAGTTCATACATAGGTGCTCTAATCTCCAGTATATTATGCTAGAACTTTTCGCGTGTTGGAGTTCCAGCATAATATGCTGGAAGTTCATACACAGGTGCACCAATCTCTAATATATTATGCTGGACCGGTCCTTGTTGCAGCAAAATAGTGACTATTTTAATGACTTTGAAAACGCTGGCTATTTTTGAATAATCAGTCCGAAAACTGGCTAGCCCATGCTATTTTAACTTAGTATTCCTCTTACAACCTTTACCTTTTATAGTTGAAATTTGTGCTATCGGTTTTCCTCTTAGTTTCATTTTAATTTACTTAATTATTTAATCATTAACTGTCTCTGTAGTTTGCGATAATTGGATTCATAGCGTGACAGAAATTACTTCCTCTTTTCCGAAAGAATTCCACTAGTATTAGTTTATCAAACAATCTCCAAAGGCAATGGACTGACATTTTGTAATTTTTCTTTTTTAAATTACGTAAGCTGCTACAATATCTAAAACCAAAAGAATGAATTGTTAGCTTTGTTACACCAAACCAAAACTACGTACAAAGTATCTTTTATACTTCATATACAGAAATAATATTGACATTAGACGATGATGTTATTCTCATTTAGTGATGTTATTCCTGATAATCGTTTCAAACTAATATCAAAGAACTTATGGGGTAAAATTAATATATAATAAATGATCGAATGATAGCGTGACACGTGAAATCGAAGACAGGTAAGAGGCAAGTCAAATAACGGCTAGTGCGGGGAACAACAACTGCAATTGACATCGGTTAAATCTCGAAGGGAGCATGATCAACGGGAGCAGATCGAATATTTGCCATCAGATAGCATTCAACGAAGAATATTTCCTAACATTAAATGGGCAACCGTTGCAGAGAATATTTGCATTCATGGCATGCCGTTACATATTCATCAATGACTCCTTTATTATCATTTAAGTGGAGCTTGATTCTAGGATCTTGTTTCCCTAGGTATAACTATAAATAATAGTCTCAGCAGCCATTGTAACACATTAAAATCCTTGGAGAAACATATGATATATTTTATTTTTGCTCTCAATAAAACAACTTTATTTGCTCTTTCACATTGCTTTTATTTTTGTCCTCAGAGACATTGCGCTCGGAGTCAGGCTTGTCATCTTATTCAATTTCAATTGCTAAATCTTATTTTTAATCTTACTTCTTAATAAGTTATGTGCCTTTTTGTATTTTGATGATCTAACAAACTTCACATGAGAACCAGATTGAGAACCTGTTACACATCCTCAAAGTACTCAAGAACACCAAGTCTTATGTCTGCCACAAGTTCCAACAACTTGAGTAGAAGAAACAACAGAGGGAACAAATGGCTATCAGTTCCTTTGGTGTCACGACCCCAGTTCGCCCTCCATGAACTATCGTGACGGCACCTAGTCTCCACGACTAGGTAAGCCTAACAATTTGCGAGAAAAGGGAAAACAACAGATAAAACAATTAAAAACTGCGGAATAAACAAATGAAGGTTTAAAGATGCCGCTCGCCATATACAATACAACTCTCAAAATGAAACTACATTTTCCAAAACCCGGAATCTCATGAAATCACAAGCTATGAATACTACAGTGTGCTCTAACTCCACAATGTCTAAATCAAGATAAGTATAAAAGGGCTAAGACTATAAGAGAGAATGGAAAGGAACTCCTCGGTCTGCGGACGCGGCAGATATACTTCGAAGTCTTTAGAGAATCGCCTCGCCTCAAGGGTAGTAAGGCCGAGCCAAAGAACCTGGATCTGCACAAGAAAAACATGCGCAGAAAGAGGCATGAGTACACCACAACGGTACTCAGTAAGTGACAAGCCTAACCTCGGTCGAGTAGTGACAAGGAAGGTTAGGGCCCTACTGATTATAGCTGAAAAACGAGGTAAAATAGTATAGAATGCAACAATATAATTAAATGCTAACAGTATGAAGTAATACAGGAAATAAGAATACAACAACTATAGAAGAGACAAAATAATCACAGAAGGAATACAGGTCAATACATAGATAACAACCGGGGATCTCTCAGTATCCCGAGGATCTCTTAGTATCCTCAATATGTGCGCTGGGGATCTCTCGATATCCCAAGGATCTCTTAGTATCCTCAATATATGTGCTGGGGATCTCTTGGTATCCCGAGGATCTCTTGGTATCCTCAATATATGTGCTGGGGATCTCGTGGTATCCCGAGGATATCTTGGTATACTCAATATACGTGCTGGGGATCTCTTGGTATCCCGAGGATCTCTTAGTATCCTCAATATATGTGTTGTGGATCTCTCGGAATACAAATCCGTAGTCCCAAAGTAAACACACAGCAGCAACACAAAGAATACTCAATTCAATTAAAATTTCATACAAGGCAAAACAGATATTTCTAACCTAGCATGCTGCACATAATCCAAATAAGGCAGTTTAAGCAAGTAAAACAATTAAGCCAATTAGACATGCTTCCCTTAGCTAACAGTAGATTTAAAGTGCAAGTAGTATAAACAGGAAAGGAAACACAATTATAGTTACTTAATGAAAACAGGATTTT